GCATAAAAGCGTTCTTATTTCTAAGTACCTTGGATACCAAGTTAAGATCTGCTTAGGACATTGCTCCTATTATCAAACGTATAAATTATTGGAGTGACTTGTCAAACTTTCCTCGGAGCAACGCTAATAACCGGAATATAATTTTATGATTATATCTACAACTTCCTTCAAACTTATAACAGATGTTAAGGTAGTTTGAAATCTGCAACACCCGTGTGTATTATCATTAACTGAGTTAACTTTGCTTTGTAAGTTAAAGAACTTGCATTTTCCCTGATGGCATCTGGTTATAAACTATGTTAATAAATCTAATGAAGTAGTTATATAGTAGTAGAAGGAAATATTTAATAATCTCTTCCATTTTAAATATAAGGATTTTAAATATTTTGTTTTTTTGACGAAAAAGGCAGAGTAAAAAATTAAACGCGAGTCTTTATAAATTTTCAAAACCCTTTTATAGGCCCTGTTAAGATGTTTGGATTCAAATTTCGTATTGCAATCCTATTTTTTTTATAAATAAAAGGTCTGCCGTTCTATGTGCAATGAAAAATACAGAAAATGAAATCAGAATCCGTAAACTAGTTCTATTAACATGTTTGATATACAACTTAAGACATAACGACTTATTTCAAATATATATGTATTCCATTAATTCTATTTTATTATTACTTATATTAGAGATGACAAAACTTGTAGTTGCTTACAAGTTCGGTGCATAGAATTTGAATTACGTAATGGATTTTCTAAGTTGGCACAGCGTGAAATTGTTCCTGACTTACTGTTCTGTCTAGGAACAGTATAGCGCACAAGTCTTTCTCAATAAGTCATATTAATCACGTTATCTATTCATCATTTTCAGCTGTATTTATCGTGTAAGCGTTGTATGTATACACATATATATGTACTGTACAAAATTAGTTAAAGAAGTAATATTCATAAAATCCTTAAATTATGTACTTCATATATCTCATATAATATGAAGAAAAGTGTTAATTTCATCATCTCTAAAAAGGGAGCAGCAATATTGAAGTCTTATTTTCAATTTTCTTCAAACATCCAATTTTCAATTTCTGGATAATCGCGCTCTTGCGCAATTGAACATTCGATTACTCGAATACAAAGACTACCTAAACGATTGAATTCGCTGGCATTAATTGCGTTTGAATCGAAAGCGTATAACATAACTCGTAGAAAAGAGACGTTAAACATCCCTTTACATAAAATTATATGTATACTTATTTCCCGTTCCTTTATTTATTGTGTTTTATTAATTAAAAGTCAATTATATACAGTTTAATTCTTTGAATAATTTTATACAGTTTAATTCTTTGAATAATTTTATACCTACGAATATATTCGGCTTGCTTTGAGATAATTAAATTTGTCTGAAACGATAATTGGTTCTGTTCTATTTAATTTTATAGAGGTTTAGAATTTTTATGTTACGAAACATTTGTTTTAACTATGACTAATGAAAAATTTATTTATGTTAATCACTTTGTTATTATTTAAATAATATCTTAGTAATGTGTCACACGATATAATGTCGAAGTCTATTGTTATTTTCCCGTAAAATAAATATTCATATTATTTAAAGCCGGTTAAAATACTTTGGTTAATCGATCTCTTATGAATATTCACATATATTTTATCTTTTGATGTTGAAACATGTTAGCTCACCTAGACCTAAGGTGGTAGGGCGACGCAGCAGCCTCAGCTGTTGCACGAATGGGCAGGCTCGTCTGGGTAAGTTCCATGACCTCGCAGAAGACTGGCGTAAAGTGGAAGTATAATACTTTCGCGTTTCGTCTGGTAAGAGAGGTGGCCAGAGCCCAATTTTCAAAAGGTTGTCAACGCATCTGGAACCCTCGGGTGTAGCAGACGTCCATGGGCGGCGGTATTTTCTTAATAAAAGAAGATTTAAAGTGAAATTAAAGATAAAACATTTTAGCGTCGAAGTTCGTCATCATTTACAGCAGTATACTCAAACACGCATTGAATTTAACATTATCATGTTTCGATTACAGATTACTCTCGTTCCATGATAAATCATGTTTTGTACATCATAAAGTTTTATAATGTTGCTGCGTATAGCAAGCAACACTTATGAATATATTAAGCCTTCAGTTTGGTAACAAAGTGTGTTTGTGCTGCAGTTGAGTTTCGGAGCTTATTTAATCCTAGACTTGGCTAAGCATAATAACATTGCCACCAATCAAAGTCAAAATCCTGGATGTTCGAAGGCTCGAACGTGAAATGATATTAAATAAAGTTAGGCAAATTGGAAATTCAGTATGAATATCAAAGCTTGGCACAGCGTGAAATTGCACCTTGCTTACTGCGGACACCAAGCTGAAACAGAGATGTTACTTCCAGTGAACAGTTGTCATAATTTTATTGCAATATTAAATTATTTCTTGTGGAATCCCTGTCATACAAATAATTGGGTACCGATTTTTCAGTGAGGAATCTTTGCGATGTTAATATTTGAAAAGATGTTGACCACACTCAAATATTATGTTTTCTTACAAAATGTTGGTAATAAAAACAAAAAGAAATAAAAAGGATGGCTCTGAAATTGACATGGAATAAGGTTTTTCAAAATATACATAGTACATATGATAATGATATTAATATTATCCTACTTATGTCGTGTACTTATGTTACAAAATTGTGTAGTCTGACTTAGATTTTTTATCAATCATAAGACACATAAATACATTGATTGGATGGTATAGTAACGTTAAATAACTTTATTTTTTATGTGAGAATGTGGCAAGCGAGTTCGTTATATATAGCCGTCTATTCATCAAGTTATAGCCGACGCTCATGGACATTTGCAACACTCTTAGGGTTACAGATGCGTTGCCACCTTTTAATAATGTGGGTGGCGGTTGCCTCATTCACTAGATGAAACGCAGAAGTATAATACTTCGACTACACGCTGATCTTCTGTGGGGCGTGGTACTTCCTTAGACGGACCTCCCTAATAGCGTAGTTTTGCGGGCCCCTACCACAGTTAGGTTATAATTTTATATAATTCAGGTCACTAACCTGCAACGATTTTACATGGATTACTGATTTCTCTTCCGGCAGCTTCAACAATCATCGTCATACTTAAGCCAATTTACATAACATGCTAATTAGTGAAATACCTAAACTTTCCTCATGAATTATTCCGTTTGCTGGTGAAAACCATATGAAAATCCGTTTAATAGTTGATGAGTGCAATGCGGGATAGATATCGCTTCATAACATTTAGTCCTTTCTAATCCGTTATAATAATATATAAATAATCTAATATTATATGGATGGATGTTTGTTCTACTACACTTCACGCAAATACTACATACAGTAGTATTGAATTGGATTTTAATGAAACTTTACAATAATATAGCTTGTACATCAGAATAAGACATAGGCTATAAGTTATATAAATATTTTATGTATATCTGTCTTTCTTTCTGAATGTTACGCCTTCAGCCTATTCTACGCAGACGTAGTCGCGGGCAGCAGTGATTAATACATAAAAATTTAAAAATAGAAAACATTAAAACTTAAAAATAGACATTTAAATTAAGATATGTTTGACGATTCCTATTATAGTTTTGATGAGACTAACGTGCTTCGCAACAAACAACTTCAATCAAGGATATTGTGTAAATTGCGTAGTTAATAAATAATTTATCTATCACCAATTGTACTTTAAAGTATATGTTTTGTTTAATTTATAACGCCTTTTTTTAATAGCTCAATTATTTTTGTCAGGCTCATTATTTTTTCGGACAGCGAGTCAATATTAACAGCATATGATAAACTTATGAATAAAATCATCTAAGTTTATTTTTAGTGAATTTTAATCAAATTTATCTTAAAAAACTTTCTTAAGATAAATTCGAAAAGGAAGAAGCATCACTTTTACGTAACATATATATATAAATATATATAAATATATATAGACTATGAACAACGTAACAAACATTGCAATTAATCTTAGCTGTGATATAATTTGTCTTCGTCTCGGAGTAAATAGCTAATTACGGGCACAATGGCCCGATCAGCGGTTCTTATTGATTGTCAACTATTGTTCACTTGTAACTCTCAAAGAATGTTCGACGTGAAGGCACGGTTTTGGATTCCCTTTAGAAAATATTCACAATTTTCGCTTCTATTTACATTTGTACTTCTGTTTTTATTTCTTTACCGTAAGAAATATTTCCACAAAATTATTTTAATTCAATTGTATTTAGCAATTTGTATTACGTGTTTATCGAAGTTATGAAGCTATGTATATTATGTCATATAATAATGTGATTTTCCGATCTCATTTTTTGCATGGAAATTCCCAGCTGTGGACTGACTGGTTATTTTTTGTCACAGGATACTTTCCTCCGCTGTCAATGCTGGGCGCACCCACATGCTTCTACCTTTCTTTCTTAAGCAGACTCCTAACGTTGTGAAGGCTATTTGTTACCACCTCACGATAATCACAAAAGCATCCATGCCTAGTTATAGTCCACCACGCGGCCCCGGTGCGGATGGCGGACTTCACATATTTTCTAAATATTTTTTTGTTATTATTTCGAAAACATGCAGGTTTCCTCATGATGTTTTCCGTCACCTCCGACCAAGTGATAAATCGGCATTTAAAATTAACAATCTCATTGGTACTGGTACTGGGGATCGAACTCGGGTTGCTCGAGTAAATATAATTAAATGCGAGCGCTCAGACACTGAGCTATCACGGCTCGTTTATGTACTCGTATATCTACCGAATTTGAGGTTAAAAGAGGTGACTGTTTTTATTTAAACATAAAAGTTTAAAGTGTTACTTTTAATAACCGATTATCGTAATCGATAAATTATGTCATGTTAACCTTCACTTTTAGATTTCTTTACTTCCAGATTGTGAAAAAAAATTGAACATTCACATTGAAACAGATAAATATAACGCTTTTAAGGTTCCGTACACCAAAAGGTAAAAAAGGAACCCTCACCTAGAATCTGACGTAGAATCGCGAAGCAAAATCTCCCGGCAATGTGGAGAAGAAGCTCGAAAACACCATTACCGACAATTGAACGAGCGTCTGCATAACGATCTGGAAATCTCCGAACTGCCTGCACCGGGACGTCGTATTTGCGGATCGGGTGGGCCTCTCGCGGCGCAACCGCGCCGGTGCGCCGCGCGCGGCCGCGTCGCCGCGCCCACGCACCATCGTCGTCAGGCTGGCGCGTCGAGCCCTGCGCGACGACATGCTGCGCGCTGCGCGTGTGCGCCGCGGCCTCACCTCAGCCGACATCACCACGCCGGGGGAGCCGCACAGGTTCTGCGGCTGATCCGACAGCTGTTTGGCATGGCACGTGAAGCGGCATCACGCGCCCAATGGTAATATGTTTGGACGACAAATGGTAACATTTTTTCTAGGAAGGATGACGGTAAGGTAGCCCAATGGAATAAAATGTTTGGAACGACAATCTTGATGGTAACAAATTTTTTCTTCAGTCTAATATTGCTTTACTCATATGCCACAACAATGTTAAGGATTTGACGGTTATTTTAACATCGATTCTTTACCGTTTAGTTTTTTTTTTTTTATTGCGATTATGTTTTGTGTTTCGTTGCAATGCTGATTCCGGGTTTTTACTTACATAAAGCTCAATTTATTCATTTTCACGTGGAAGTATATTTAGGCGTTCTGTTAAGTCAATTACTAGGTCTTTTCAGATACAAATTTTTAAGTTGATCACGGGCACACCATCAAAACGTTTTTTATTTACTCTAATAGACGTTGTAATTCTTATAATTTTTTTTTGTTTTTTTTTTGTTTACATGTAAATATTTCAAATTTTTATTGTAATTGTTTTGTTCATGGGCCTTAAATTATACTATAGATTTGGTTTTCTCAACGTCTGCTCGCTAAATACAAATCACGAGGAATTTATCGCAGCGATTGAACGTCACTCGGTGGACATATGGCGCAGAATGAGACAAGGCTGCGTGCCGGAGAAGAGGGCTGCGCGCCTCGTTTGCCCGGCTACAGCCTGCGTCACACGCCGCGGCCGCTGAGCGTGCGCAGTGGCCGTGGCGGTGGCGGTGGCTTCTACATAAGGCATGGCAAAAATGTGCACTCTTATCACCATCCGGTGGACCCTTCGCACACGCCTGTGGAACAGATGTGGTTAACTCTTAACACTGGGACAGGAAAACTTGCTATCGGAACAGCATATCGCTCGCCTTGGCTCGACGTTGATTTATTTTCGACGTTGATCGATGCAATTATATTAACTATAACTTCGTTACTTTCGTGTGATTATTTTATTTTGCTCGGCGTATTTAACATTAATATTCTTCGTTTAAATGATATTAAGGTTTATAAACTTAAAATATTTTTAAACAGTGTAAGTCTGCAGCAAATAGTTATGTCTCCTACACGCTACACGGACCACAGCGAATCCATCATGGATATAATATGTACAAATACTGGAACGTGACATGTTACGATGGAACCAGTTGCGCCCCTCCGCAATCATGTAATGTTGCCGTGTGAAGTATGCTGTAAAAGAGAAAAAACATTTCTGAGAAGACTTATATACAGACCTCTTAATAACGTACCGGTTGATATACTTAATTCTTGTTTAGACTCGATTAGCTGGAATTCATTGGAACAAATGCTTGATGTTAATCGAAAAGTGAATAACGTTTAATTCTCATATTATTACTTTATCAGGTTTAATAGCTACCTTAAAAAGAATTGTACTTAAGGAGCAACCTCATCCATGGATAACAGACAATATAAAGCTCATGATGGGATTACGGAATGCTGCTCACTCGCGATATTCGAAATCACAAATGGAGTCACATAGGACGTATTATAAAAATCTTATAACATTACTTGTACAAACAATTCATTATGAAAACAGAGAGCATACTTCAATCAATTTTTAATAATAATTCAAATAAACCAAAAATTCTTTGGCTCAACTTAAAATCATCTGTTTTGCCTCCTAAACAAAATATTCATTTACCTGCACATCTGACAGATCCCAACATAATTAACAAACATTTTCTTTATATACCCGGGACCTCCTCTGTTTCGCCTTCAGTTTTATTGTTTTTCAATAGGAATCGTTTTATAGGAGATATAAAATTTTCCCTTCATCATGTTGAACAAGACATTATTTCGAAAATTATACTAAACCTTAAATCGAAAGCAGAGGATGGATGGGATCTCTCTCGGAATGCTACTTATAACATTGCCACAGTCACTAGGTGCTATCTCACATCTATCGTTAATTGTTCAATAGTAACCTCTACCTTTCCAGATGTCTGGAAAACGGCCATCGTTAGACCACTGCCTAAAAACTCAAACCTACAGGAACCTAAGGACCTACGACCTATTAGCATATTACCCTGTTTGTCAAAAATTGTTGAGAAAGCTGTTGCGATGCAACGTAGGGAATATCCTGAAGGTAACAAAATACTTTATGAATTTCAGTCTGGATTTAGAAAAAACCATAGCATAACCACAACTCTTGTAGATGTTACGGACAGTATTATTAATGCACAGGATGCTGGTATGTGTACCTTACTAGTACTTCTACATTTCTCAAGGGCCTTTGATTGCATGAATACTCAATTACTACTAGATAAGATGTCATGATGGTTTTGATCCTGATACGGTCAGTTGGTTTCATAGGTACTTTACTGGTCGTGGTCAATATGTAGAAATCACTCAAGTAGACGGTTGACCTCTTCGTTCAACGTATAGCCCCTTGACAAGAGGAACTCCGCAGGGAACGATCTTATCTCCTCTATTATTTATACTCTACACAACAGATATCGTAAACTGTATGAAATCTTGCAAATATTACTTATACGCGGACTATTTACAAATATTTATTTCTTTTAAATCTAATGAATGGCGCTCGGCATTGCAGTCGCTTAACGAGGACCTGGGTAGAATATTAGAATGGTCAACAAATAATTGTCTAATTCTTATTCCTAATAAAACAAAATATTAGTAACATAGTAAATATTAGTAATAATAATAGTATTCGGATCGAAATTTCATATAAATAATGTTCCCCTTGATTGTGAGATGAAGTTAGGTGCGAGAACGTGTTTTTGAGGCTCGTAACCTCGGCTTAGAGTTGGACTTAAAGCGATACGAGAACCATATATCAAAAGTAGTTCGCAACTTTTTTTATAGATTAAAAGTCCTGTATAAGGTTCGACAATATCTAAGTGAAGAACTTCGGGTACGCCTAGTCGATTCTCTCGTTCTATCTAAATTAAACTATTCCGACACAGTTTACGGCCCATGCTTGTATGTAAGAACAGAAAAGTTGATTCAACGGGTTCAAAAAGCTTGCGCTCGTTTTTGTTTTAGAATTCCACCCCGTAGTCACGTAACACCTTTTTTTAATCAAAACAACATTTTAAACATGAAACAACGCAGACAGCACCATTTAGCATGTCTGCTTTTTGGTATTTTGGGATCGCAGGCACCTAATTATCTTAGGAGCAAATTAGAATGGAGTACTCGTAGAGGGAATATCAGCGGTAATCGCAGTCGCCACCTAATAATACCGCGACATAGATCTATTATGTTTAGAGGTAGCTTTCGATATGCAGCAACCAAATGCTAGAATAACATCCTACCGCCAATTAGGAACTGGCAAACGAAATCGTCGTTTAGATTTAAAATGAGATTTTCTCTTACGGAACCAAAAAAAGATAGCGTAAAAAAACAGGTACGACTTTCATAAGAAATAAAAACTAGGTTATATTATATGTTCACTTTAAGATTTTATGTAAAAATCGTGTTGACCGCATTACTGATTAAACACTTCTCACATACTATTCAATGAATTATACACTTCTCACATACTATTCAATTTTTTTATGCCTTCGTTACATTAAGAAATTCGCTGGAAATGAATAATATTCAATTATATTTATGTCTTTGTTACATTAAGAAATTCACTCACGCATCTGCCACTGACGGACGCACACAAGGGTTTCTGCAGAATACCAGCGATGGTCATCCCAATGGGGGTGTCAGCTTATGCTGAGCAGCTGACCCTATCAACTCAACATTGCAACGCTCACATTTTCTGTACATAGTTCTTATTTTTTGTTGAATATTATAGTTTTTCTTCTTTTTTATTTCTCGCTAATATTAATTATACTTGTTTTTTTCTACATATGTATATGTTGATTGTTCATTTTTTGCCAGTGTTGAGCTAATTAGATGGTTATTATTATTATTATAAATATGAATAAAAGCAAGGTCATCTTATACAACATCTTATACTTAAAAAGTTGAAAATTAAAGACTGTCCCGATACATACATAGTTGACGCAAATTAGATCTGAGTTGTATGGGCGCTCATACAAATACAATTACATACTAGATAATAGTACGGAGCCCTTGGTGCGCCCGTCCGACTTGCACTTGGCTGGTTATTTTGTAAACCATTGTCTCAACTTTCAATAAATAGATCTTGGCCCAGAAATCCCCGTCTCCTTTAATTATCTACTTAAGTAATTTAAATTATTTATAGTGCTAATCTTTGCACTTAAGATTGAACATTAAAATATGTAGAAAAAGTGCGAAAAGATTGTCGCCAATCGAACCCACGTCTTCGGCATTCGCGGCCTGACGCTCTAGCCACTGAGCTAAACGGCTAATCAGTCGTCGTAGCATTTGAAGCAATGCTTGGCGCCATCTATTGTTATATCCTTTCCAGCATACAAACAATTTTCTACATATTTTAATGTTCAATCTTAAGTGCAAAGATTAGCACTATAAACAATTTAAATTTCTAAAAAAGCAATGGCGACATCTCTCGTTCGAATTATCGTTGTAAAACGATATTCGAAATTGTTTGTATGCTGGAAAGGATATAACTAGAGATGGGTCGTATCGCTTTTTCTGAGTACCGTATCTGAATCAGATTTCGATTTCAAATATCAGATTTCGAAACTATGTATTTTAATATCTAGATATTTTACGGTCCCGTATCCACCTTGAATTCTAAAAAAAAAAAAAAAAAAATTGATTCATTCTATGTACATAATTTTCCTGATATTTAAAAATTAACTTATTTACAATTATGTGTGGGTTAATAATTATTTAGATTCCTCCGGGTTTAAATTCACGTTTACGAACGTAAGCTGTTTGACTTTAATCGTCGAAAGTCTTGTTCGACGATCATTATAACTATACATAACTAAAGCTATTACCAGTGATACCAACTGTTCAAAAAGAATACTTCTAAATAAATTCGAAAACCCACTAAAATTGACTAAATTCAAAAAACTTACTGAATTTAAAATCACGATTTTTTTATACTATTAATGTAAAATTAAAACATTACCTGATAAAATTAAAAATTTCATTAAAAATAGAAATTGAAGTAATATAAAAATGATTTATTTTAACATCTTATACATCGCTTAATAATTGACTTTAACATATTTTTAAAACACGCAATCATGAGTGACAATATCTTTATAATTTGTGTAAGAAATAATACATTCAGTATTATAACTTAGGGCGGAAGAATTTAAAATATACACACAAAGCACATAAGCCTTGGTCTGATTTCCACCCAAGCAGCACAGCACTATTAAATTATATTTTTCTTTTTGTGTACTTTTATTTTTTTCCAAAAATATGGATAAAATTTAACTAATAAAAATATTCACAAAAAATTTACCTCCTAAAAAATTTCCATTTATATTTTTCTTCCTTAATTTAGGCAGAAAATTCTTAAGTAGCAAGTTGGCATCCCTTACTATTACGTGCTTGGTACCAATGCAATCCAGCTCAAGACTAAACAAAATTTAAAGACATCGTTAATACCGTAATTCGTATTTAAATGCAACAGAGATTTTTTCCATGCTGTTAAGATTCAAAATTACTTAACTGCGCGCTTTGTCGCCCGTTACGGCTCAAGGCTAAACAAAACAATAGAAATATAATAATATCGTTGTAGTAATCTTTGATACCATGATTAGTATTTAATTAAAACGGATCTTATTTGCATGGTTTTAAGATTCAAAATTACTTAACTTATTCATAATATCTGTTTAAAAATCTGATATTGTGCCTTGCTTGCCGTACTGCTCTAACTAGTGTAATATTTGTATCTCACGCGCTTTGTCGCTCAAAATCTGTTTAAAAATCTGATATCGTGCATTGCTTGCCGTCCCGCTCTAACTAGTGAGTATTTATATCTCACGCGCTTTGTCGCTCGATATCTGATATCGTGCATTGCTTGCCGTCCCGCTCTAATTAGTGAGTATTTGTATCTCACGCGCTTTGTCTCTCGAAATCTGTTTAAAAATCAGATATTGTGGCAAACGCGTATGATGTCGCGGTTCGTGTCGGTATAGCGAGCGAGCACGGTACATCAGATTTCGGAAATATCAGATATTGTAAAATACATAGATATTGAACGAGCCAGTAAGCGATATTCGGATATTGTACTAATATCTAGTTTTCATATCTGATACGATTTGTATCGCCCACTTCTAGATATAACAATAGATGGCGCCAAGCATTGCTTCAAATGCTAAGAAAGCAATGTGGAAGAATGCGTTAAGATTTTCGTCGGTGTGGTAATCAGCCGTTTAGCTCAGTGGCTAGAGCGTCAGGCCGCGAATGCCGAAGACGTGGGTTCGATTCCCACAGCGGCGACAATCTTTTCGCACTTTTTCTACATATTTTAATATCTACTTAAGTGTTAGTTCTGTTACATACATGTTTCATACAAATTATTTATAATGTTAAAATCCTTACTAATATTATAAAGGCGAAAGTTTGTGTGTATGGATGGATGTTTGTTACTCTTTCACGCAAAAATACTACTGAATGGATTTTAACGAAACTTAAAATAATATAGCTATACATCAGAATAAGACATAATTATATATATTTAAATAATTTATATACATATTTTATGTATATCTTTCTTTCTGTCTGAATGTTATGCCTTCCGCCTATTCTACGCAGACTTAGTCGCGGGCAGCAGCTAGTATACAATATTTATGCTAATGCCAAGTAAATAGACCGAAAATATTTTGCATATCGTATCTTCTGAATTGAGGCAGTCACGTCGTGTATCATTTGAATACAGCATTTCGGTGGGAATATCAAGAAATTTTTCAAAGCTCAAATTCTAAATTCGCACCATGAATTTATAGCAAAATATTCACCTTAAATAGTACCTTTACACCTTTTTGTCATGTAAACAGGAGCAAATTAAATAGGAAGGTTTTTTTGTCAGGTTAAATATTAATAAGGAATGCGATATGAGCATGAAAAAATATAAAAAAAGTGTGTGTATATGGTGCATATGTACGCAAGTAAGAAGTTATACTTCTTTCTCGTAAAGTAAAAGAACAGTAACTAAATATGTTATCCCCTGTGTACTCTTTGTTTTTTTTGTACTCTTTGTTTGAAAAAGTCATTAAATACAATTGATAACGATTTAATTAAATAACTTGCAATTATAGGTAAATGTCAAAAAGTTGTTATTGGTTGCCATGGCAAAAACGTTAAGTTGGTCGCATTGCAACCAACTTCACCATGTCTGTTTTTGGCCGTCGGTGGGCGCGCGCGCAACTCTTAATTTTACTTTAATCGGAAAATTATCCGAACGCGCTAAAAGAAGTATAATTTCAAAAACTTGATGGCTCCGTGGCGCAGTTGTCAAGGTATTGGCTTCGGCGTCGGGGGTCGTGGGTTCGATTCCCACACGAGACAACTATTTGTGTGACCCACAAATAGTTGTTTCGCATCTGGGTGTTTGTCCGCGTGAAATTTATGTTTGCAAAAACATCCTTACAACACAGGATAATGTTATCCGAAAGTAAGGGCAATGTTTTCAAACTAGAAAAAAAAAAACTTGTTCTTGTTATGTCTGTTAAAATTAATTCTTTTAAATATAAGTAGTCACCCCTTTTTATCAGTATATATCACAGAGATTTATTTAAAATCTCTTCACAAGCGTTTGGCGTAGACTACAAAGCTGGAAGATGGACATTGTATTGCATATTTTCAAACCAAAACCAATGACGTGAGTTTGGATTTGGGATGGTAGTATACTTTTTATTTTTATGTGAAAAGTTGCCAAACGAGCAGACGGTTCACCTGATGTTAAGTGAATAACGCTGCCCATAGACATCTGGTACACCCGAGGGTTTGCCAGATGTCTATGGGCGGCGTATAATACTTTCGCGTTTCATCCGGCTACCTCACTGACCAGACGAAACGCGAAAGCATTATACTTCCACTTTACACCGGTCTTCTGTGAGGTCGTGGTACTTACCCGGACGAGCCTGCCCATTCGTGCAACAGCCGAGGCTGCGGCGTGGCCCTACCACCGTTAATATAGTACTCTATTATTTTACATGAAATCAAGAAGATTTTCAATAAAACAAAAATTTATAATTTTTAAAAAGATTTAATTTTAAAACAAACCAACTGACATAATCTTGATATGGCAGACAAGAACGCGGTATAATCTAAAATGAGCTTGTTTAATCTGTCTTTGTAGAACGTATAATTTTACTATTGTTATGAGTATAAAGTAAACAATACTATCGCACTTTAAACCAACTTATGGAATATACCCGTTACATTTAGTGGAACGGTTACTGCACTGCAAAGTGCAAAGTACAGTGACATTGAAGCTATGAAGGGTTTTGCATACCATACGGATTGAAATCTCATACCTTGACCACTATGATACATGATAACTCTAAAACTTTAAGTAGAATGTGTTTTCAGATTAAAATTTTTTGAAAAGACTTTCCTTAAAGATGTTTTAATAAATGTTTATAATTCTCGGCCTTTTGGCTAAGATGAAAGTGTAAAGTGTAATAAAAAACGGTGAAACAAATATTTCATAACTTTTAAAATGAAACATTAAAATTTCACTAAAAATAGTGCATTTCAAAAGCTTGATTAATGATCTTCGCAGGCGAAGGATGGCTCATCGTATTAAACTATTTCAGAAAGCTAAGTAGCTTTTCT